AAACTCACTAGCAAAGAAATTTAAATATAAAGTAACATTGCTGTATCTCTCTTCACCCATTGGACTGGTAAAATTTTTAACTCATGATAACTGGAATTGGTGTGCATGTGGGAAAAAGTCACTCTCATACATTGCTGCTGGATATATAAATAAACATGGTGTTTTTTAAGGGACATGGACCAAAAAGTTTTAATGTGTATTCCCTTTGACTCATAAATGCTATTTAAGGTATGTATACTAAAGAAATAATAATAAGGTGTCATAGATCAGAGGTCAACACACTTCTTTCATAAAGGACCAAACAGTAAATATTTTAGACTGTGGCACATACGTTCTCTGTCACAACTAGTCAGCTCTGCCATCGTGGTGTGAAGGCAGCCATAGACAGTACACAGGTGAACGGGCGTGGCCGCGTTCCAGTAAAACTTCATCTCAAAAATGGGCAGCCGGCCAGATCTGGCTCCTGTGCCGTAATTTGCAGACCCCTGCCGTGGATGATGGAAAAGCTGTTCATGTCTGCCGTTGTTTACAGCATTGACAAAGAGGAACACAGCTAATGCTTTTTCACAGGGAATTAGGTAAGTGAAGGACTGTGCGGCAGGAAACACCAAGCTGTCAATCAGCATTTCAGGACCCCAGCACTACTGACCCGCAGTCAGCCTCCCCGTGCCCCGTGCTCCCCTGCGTGAGCCTTCAGGATCAGCGCACAGGGGCCCCTTCCCTCCACTGCTGCATCAGAAGCCAACCTGGGCTCCCAAAGCCTGGCCTCCGCCCTCCAGAGGGCTCCTGCCTTCTCCGTGAGCTCCGTGAGCTCCGTGAGCACTAAATAGCAACCTTATTATCTGGCAGTTCATCAAGCCCTGCCTTGAGTGATTGTCATTTTAATTTGCTGTTATTTCAGTTTTTCCCATGTGTAGGTGTTGTCCCTCCAGCTAAATCGCCAGGCACAAGTTGTGTCTTGAAAGTCCATGGCAAGCAGTCAAACATGTTTTGTGTCAGCTTAGAAAGGCGGCAATTATAGGATTAAGAACGCTGGTGGAATGTCTAAATTGTCCATGAGAAACATTAAAAAGTAGAGTCATTTTAGTCAAACTAAAAACAAAAGAAAATTGAGGATGCCTGGTTAATACATTGAAGTAAAACAAAGGGAACCACAAAGCAGCTTAACCTAAAAGGCAGATGATTGAAGAGTCAGAATAGCACAGCGATTAGAGATCGCAGTGGCACCACACACTGGATCTGCAGCCTTGGATGAGCTACTTTGCCCTCTCTGATTCGGTTTCCTCATCTGTAAATGGAGATCCTAGCAATACCTACCTCCCTGGGCTGATGTAATAATTAGATGAGATGTTACATGTGACATCCTTAGAACAGAGCTTGGCACATTGAAATCTTTCAGAACATCTTAGCAGTTGTTACTACTGTTAGTGGTAGTAGTAATAGCAGCTGTAGTAGTAGTAGTTATGAAGAAATACCAGACCAAGCATGATCATTGTAACAATGTACATAAATGGTTAATTTATATTTCTAAAGCAAAAATAATACAAATACTTTTTATGAAATGAGCA